CACTCTGTAAGTCAGCAGTTCAGTCGTGTCTTGGGTTCATCAGCCCATAACTTACTATTCCCTTTCAAATGCACCAAGGCCATTAGATCTGGAGAAAAGTCAGATTTAAATACATTTATCTTAATAAATGGAAAAGCAAGTGTTGCTTAAAGCAAATATTCAGTGCATGCGATGTTGACATCAGATTTATTTGCAGGACTTAAAAGCTGGCCTTACTTAAATCTGTTTCAGCCGTGGATCAAATGAATTTGGTTGTCCCAACCTGGCCCCCAGTGAATCAAAGTCCACATCACCAACTCACAGCATCATTTGTCACAATTGGCAGTATCTGCTCATGAGAAAATTATGTGAGCACGGGCTGCAGAGTAGGCTTGAGGTGCATTATCAGAGCTGTATGGGGAAGCATGCAGAAGGCTTGCCCTTGCTCCAGCAGGACTTGCTCCACTTTACTCTTGTTTTCATAAGGCCCAATAAATATCAAGTTAAAGCTGAGAATGAGTTTGAGCTCATTTAACTGTGCTTCTGTTTTGCCATTCATGTTCAGTCACCTTTTCAAAAGTCCCAAATGTGTACTCCAAATCACTAGTGTGATTGTCACATTCTTTCGCTGTCTCTCACTCTATCAGATACATTATGAAAATGACTTTTGCATATTAACTACAAAAACTAAGGAACTGCTTCATGGATTTCCCAGCTGAATTGCATGAGAAACATTAACATATTTGGTGATTCAGAAAGGTGGAGGGAAGGGAGGGAGCAGAGGCAGAGAAAGCAATAAGGACTTTTGCATATTTGTTTTTCTGACCCAATCAAATATGCACACAAACCAGGAGGGAAATGAGTGAAGGAGGTGTACCATAGTAGTGTTTATTTCACAAACTGTGTCCCTTTTGGGTATAGGGATCCCATTGATTTGCCCATAGCTTACTCCAAAGCTCATCTTCTCCTGTGCTGGGCAGGGTACAGGTGTAGAGCTGATCAGAAGGTGAGCTATTTGACTCTGTGTCAAACGGGTGAGCTCCTGTTGCTCTGTCCCAGCTTCTGCCAACCTAGCAGTTCAAAAGAACACCAGTGCAAGTAGATAAATAGGTACCGCTGTGGCAGGAAGGTAAACAGTGTTTCCATGCGCTCTGGCACCCGTCAAGGTCCTCCATGCGCCAGAAGCTGCACCCCATACTTGCCTTTGACTGGACTTGACTGTCCAGGGGTCCTTTATACCTTTAGAGGGGTCAGAAGATCCCTTAAACATAACAAACATTATTGGGTGGGCTTTTTATAACATTAATTTCATTAAACTGCGGTTTATTTGTAAATACAGATCTAGTAACAGATTAATTACCCTTTAACCCATTTTAACCATGCATTTTCTGCACATTTAAATTTGTTACAGGGTGGTAAAAGGTCAAGTTTCTTAATTTTTCCATGCATGTTTGAATGGTGAATTGAGCTTCTATGAGTCTTTGAAAGGAAAAAGCAACCCATTATTTCTTACATTATTTTGTTACTCTGCGTTAATCCACTATACTCTGGTCCTAAGTATACGGACTCGTATTTAAGTCTCAATAATTTCAGTGAAACTGATTATTCAGAAGGTACCTCTTGCAACATGCATGCAGGGGTTTAAAACTTTTAAAGATGCCCCTGTAGCTGTGCCTTTAACAGCATTTTGATCACCAGACATCTCCCTGCAAGGAAAGCTTCAGCTGCTGATTTCTAACCAGTCAAACTGCTGTTAAGAACACAAGAGCAGCCCAAGCCCCCACCCCCTCCCTTTTATCATTTGGCCACTGTACACTGAAGGGGTAAGGTGGGTTAGTGTCCTGGGAAGAGGACTGAAACATGCCCCACTTCAGACATAAATTTTCCTGAGCAATTAGCTGGATCAGTGTCATGTAGCCCGATCCTGTTCTTGTTTACTCAGAGGTAAATCTCAGTGGAACTCGGCTAAGTATGCAAAAGGTTTCAGCATTAATCTTAATGTCAATGCATACACACTCCTCCGTGTAAGTTTACTGATTCTGAGAATGGGCCCCTTTAGGCTTCCTTTACAATGCAGTATGTAAATTGGTGAATCAGTCAAGTTAGTCTCCAGTCCCCAACCCAAGTCAGCTAGGGACCAATTAACATGTTCCTCCATGACCTTTTGAGAGCATGGCAGCCATGGTTTTTCACTGACCTGTTACTTCTATCCACACTAAGCCTGTTGTGTATTTTGACCACCACTAGACTGAACTCAGACAAATTTACTTCTGGCGCTTGATCATAACCCCAGCTATTTCCAATGGCTGCAGTCAGGAATCAAAATAGTCTTTGCTGTGTTGTGGGTGGTGGAGTGATTAGCCTTTCTTGCTGACCCCTCCCAGCTTTTAAAGTCTAGAATGTCTTTATGCTCTCTTTTGACTAGAAACACATTGCCTTGTTGTGCTGAGTGCCTATGTTTCATATCCCATTAGTTTTTAGACAAATTTTAAGATGAGCCAAAATTCAGGAGAAACAGCGAAAGGCTTGTTGTCTTTCCTTTTTAATTTGTGCAGGTTTGTGCCGAACAGATCAGACCTTTAAAAAAATCTGCAATATCATAGTGTTTCCTTTCCTTTAAAAACAAAATGGGGGAGGGGAGGAAGGCTTTTTGGTGTACGTGTTAAGGCAGCGTTTTTCTTTGCGAGACCTTGCTGTGAAGTTCTAATATGTCACCATTCAAATGTCAGCATGCTGTTGGAAAGGAAGCTAATAACTTAAACCTTTGAGAGCTGCCAACAAAAGAGGTAATTCAGATTGTGGAGAGAATGCCATTGTGTTCTTAGGGGAAATAGATTTCCAGAATGAAACATGCTACTTGGAAGCATTTGTCTTTTGTGTGTGTGGAAAGGGGCGACGGGGGCGGGGGGGGGGGCGGGAATGTAGATTATAAACCTAAAAGATGGTTTGGCTAAGATAGCTCTTACTTTGGAGAACTAAAGGAGGAAAAGGGAGTTGACAGAAGTGGGAGTGGAAACTCCAGAAGCCCCAAATCTCTACTTTTATAGGAAGGTGCGTAGCTAACAGTCAGCAGCCTGCACATTGTATGATTAATGCTTTTTTTTCTTAGAGCTTTTGCCTTTGGAGAGGCAGCCACAATGTGGCCTTAGCTTGTTCTCTGGAAATGTCATGTAACATACAAATTCCTTCTGTTTATCCCAACACCACTCGACGATATATGACTTGGCTTCTTCAGGTGGTTGAACTACTGCTAGTATTAAAAAGAAAAACAACAATACTGCAGTTTTAACGGTGGGGGCAGGAAAGAAGCAAATAAACCTGGAGTAATGCAATACTCTTCATTAAGGTATTTGTAGACCCCCCCCCCAGCACATAGTTGTGGTCAGGCTTTTTCTGAGAAAAGAAACAATTGGGTTTTAGAGCCACCTACTGGAGCTGTATAAGAACTGCGTGCACATACAGTCAATAGTTTTGAGCAATGTGGATTTTTGCCATTGGTGTGGGTCACTGAAACTTCTGCCTTTTCCCTACAGTCTCTGAGAACTTCCTCTAGGCCGACAAGCGTTCAAAATAGTTGTTTCTTTTGAACCCCCCTCCCCATTGTTGTATCCTCCTAGTATTAAGAGTTGTCACAAAATTATTTTAAAAAAGTAAAGGAGAAGGCTTGCTTTGAGTTTGATAAATGAACAGAGGTAGCCAGTGCTTTTAGAATTAGTTCAAATATCTTATTTGAACATTTGTCTTTTATCAAAGTCCCATGAAAACTGTTCTCCATAATGCAGGTTCTGAGTGAAACAATAAGACAGTGAGCTTTTCTTTCTAAAGTCACATTTTATAGGCCTTTGGGGATCACAGATAGGGTTCTCCTACCCCTAAAGGGCAGCCAGCAGGGCTGGGACCAGTAAGGTTCCCCTCTGAGTGCCTGGGCTCTCAGCCAGTGCCCCACCTGCCCCACTGCTGGAATTAGCTCTGATTTGGCTGTCCTTCCTATTCCTTTTCAGAGCATAACCATCAGGTTAGGTTTCCTTCCTTCTTCACTACAGGCTGCAAATTCAAACGTGCAAATGATGCTTTGATGTTTGATGGGGCTGTTTAGGTGGAGTTTTCTTTTTTACACAGGAACCTAAGACTGTGATCCTAGGTACATCTACCAGGACTAACCTGGAAATACAAGCTTAACCAAGTAAAGCTGTGCAGAACAATTCTGCACATCCCTGTGGATCAGGCTGCATAGTAAACTTTGAGTGATATCTGGCTATGTGCTTACCCAAGGCATTGCAGTTGTTCTTTATGATTAATTTGGTGTATCCCAATGCTTATAAGACAGACTGGATTGTCATTCTATTATTGACTTCCTACCTATTTGCCCAGTGGAATTATCACTCACCCCCTGCTGGTGTAACTAGGAGAAAAGTTGATCCTTGTGTGTGGTGTGTCTTTATTTTTATTTTTTATAAAAGACTGCATTTGAATATACCTGTCTTCTCAGTTGGCACTTCAGTAAGAAATTTTATTCAATGAATTACCTGTACAGCCCATGTTATAGGAAGATTTGTGAATTGTCAGCAAGCATTAATAATACTTTGCTTGTCACACAGCTTGCTCTTGAGCATATTTCTTGATGGAAATACAGCTTTCTTTGCATAGGAATAATAGCTATTGGGATAAATCTTCTGCCAGATTATTTTGGCTTCAGGACTGCTACTGAGTAACACTATTTGTGCTTCTGGCCCAGTGCTGTCCACTCCTAATTAGCAACAGCAATCCAAGGTCTCAGGCAGAGGACTTTCCCAGCAAAGTTGTTTGGTAGGTAGATAGATAGATACCTGAGATCATTTTTCTACCTGAAAGTGCAGGGAACTAAATGAGACCTTCTGCATGCAAAAATGTGCTCTACCACTGAATTGTGGCCACTCCTTTTACAACATGGCCAATATGACCTCATATTTTTGCTGCAACATATATGTAGAAAATCCCCTCTTGTGTGCTTCTTGTCACTCACTTGCCATTCTCTCTGTCAGATATATTACAGAGTGGTGAAAGACATTGAAGCTGGAGAAGAGCTCCTTCTGTTCATGAAGACTGAAGACTATTTACACGATCCTATGGCTCCAGACATTCATGGTCAGCAATTTCTTATGGCAGATTGTCAAATAACTTATACAGAAAGTTCCCTAATTATCAGCACTTAGAGCAAATTTATCCTCTGGCATTGGTCGAAGGCCACTGAGAGTAATGACTGATTTGCTTTACAGAGGAGCGTCAGTATCGGTGTGAAGACTGTGACCAGCTGTTTGAGTCCAAAGCAGATCTCGTGGACCATCAGAAATTCCCATGCAGCACACCTCACTCAGCGTTTTCGATGGTGGATGAGGAATTTCAGCCAAAGCTTGACAAGGAGAATGACCTCCATGATATGCATGACATTCAAGAGTGCAAAGAATGTGACCAAGTGTTCTCTGATGTGCAAAGGTAGGAACAGGCATATTTTAAAAGAAACAAAACATACATAAACACCATATAAAATATATATAATATATATGGTAAAAGGTAAAGGACCCCGGGACAGTTACGAAGGACCCAAATCAATCTTTATTTTATTTCAAAATTTATTTATTTTATTTCTATTTTTATTTTGAAATATTTAGTAACTGATGATCATTAGAGAATTCCATAGTGGTTTGCAACTTAAAAATAGCTAATAAAATTGCCAGTAAGAAAACATAAAGTAATTCAAACAAAAACTAACAATAAGCCAACAGCAGAAAGTGAGGAATTACAGCACAGCAGAGGATAGTGTGTAAACCAGTCATCAGGTCTTGATTCATAACAAACAAACAAATTACCCATGTTTGCCAAAAGACAGCAGTGCAGAATTTGTCTTGATGTTTTTAGAAATAGAGTTCTAGAATCTTGGGGTTCCTGATCATGTCTAATACAGATTTCACACAAAAAATGGAAGGGAACTGATCTCATGGTCTCAAGTGTGTGTGTGTGTGTGTGTGTGTGTGTGTGTGTGTGGAGCTCATATGGGAGGACATGTCCCTGGTGTGCTCAGTGAGTATGCAATGCCTAGAGCAGTCAAAAGCTACAAAGTTGGCAAGATCTACACTTCTAGTGTTGGTGGTGATGGAAGAGGTCAGAGATGCACTTTGAGCATTTGCTAAAGGACAAGGAATAAATATGTAAAAGTTGGTGTTTTAAGATTTACAGCTGCTGTTTTCATCTAAATTATTTTAAGTTCCAGCTAATTATGAAGGCAGTGTCTGGTTCTGAAAGTCAGCGCACAAAGAGAAACCATTTTCAGGCCAGGGTTCTCTTGGATAAGTGAGCACATCCGCTGTTGGGAAACTACAGTATCACTGCAGCAAAAATGCAAGCTTGAGGGAAGATGTCTGGACTTCAGGAACAGATGGATGACAACTCTGCCTGACTCGTGCTTAGAAAACTCTTCTTTGGGGAAGGCCTTTAAGGGGTATTAAAGGCTCAGAACAAAGGCCAGAAAAAAATATATCAGCAAAAGACAAATCATAAATTGCTCTGCCACTGAGAGGGAGAGGGTGAAAAATGAGAACCGTCAGCCTGGCTGAAAAACATTTAAATTATTTAAAGTCCAATACATGACAGAAACAGTTCAAGGAAAAAGAATATAGAGAAAATATTCTATTTCAAAAAAATGTTCAGGTGGCAATTGGAATTGTTGATATATATGCAAGCTGGTGTATGTGTAATTAATGGGGGGGGGGACAGCCAAACACCATTTTAAATCTATGTTGTGGATTAACGGTGGAAGTAATAGTAAATTACATGTGAAATATTATGAAAGAAAACAGTAACATTAAATAAGACGAGAAGCATGACTCATAGCTACACATAACAGTGACAGATTGGATTCTACAGCAGATGCAGAATAATATTACTTATTTATTTATCTGGAATGTTTCTAATCCTGCTTTTCAATCCAGAGGCTCTTAAAGCAGCTAACACACATTAAAAACACAATCAGTCCAATTAAAAATTACAAGGAAACCAAACAGAGTGGCAAAATATGTTAGTATCAAGTCAGGTGAAAAATCTAAAAAGCTACAATATAATAAAAATTATATTGTAAAATATAATTTAAACATGTAAAGGCCTGGCCTTCACCTGTTGCCCCAAAGACATTAAACTCTCATGTTTTGGTTGAGTCAAATAAGATATCGCTGCAAAAGCCATATGCCACTGGATCAGTCGGCAGCGAGAGCCTCTCTTTCTAGTGTATCCTCTCCTAAGGGCCATTTCATACGTAGCAATGTACTGGCTGAGTGTGCTGCACACACATTAAGAGGTTCTTACTCCTCCAAGAACTGCTTCTAAGGTTTGATTCACTGAAGCATTTGTAATATGGGATAGTCAATACGGATGAGGTTTTTCACTAAATAGGTTGAAGCAGTCTTGTGAATAGTCCAAATTAGCAGCCGCACTTCTTAACAACTACAAAAAGTGTATATTCTATTTAGAGTAAGCAGAGTCCTACTGGATCAGACCAAGAAGGCCCGTCTAGTCTGCCAATCTGTTCTCACAGTAGCCCACCAGATGCGTATGGGAAACTCACAAGCAAGAGACGCATGCTCTCCTCCTTGTGTTGCCTAGCAGCTGGTACTCAGAGGCATATCGCCTCTGATCCAGGAGGTAATACATAATCACCATGACTAGTAGCCATTGATAACCACCATCTCTATCACCCCCCCTTATGTGTCCTTTTCCTAAGCAAAAAACATTGTAACCTCAAAGTTTATTGATTTCAATAAATCTACTCTGACTGTGACTAACATTGTGCAATCCTATGGGTGATACTCGTCGTAGGAGTGGAGATTCTTATTCTATGACTGCTTTGATTCCCTGAACTGAAATAAGTTCCTCTTCCTGATATAGGCTCCTGTCTCTTCACTTCTTGGAACAGGAAAAAGGTCTATGTAGTTCCAAAAAGCTTGAGTCACCATCTCACCGAGCCTCTTCTTCTTGTATATTTGCAGCTTAGAAAAGCACATGCTATCGCACACCGAAGAGCGGGAGTACAAGTGTGACCAGTGCCCCAAAGCCTTTAACTGGAAATCCAACTTGATACGCCACCAGATGTCCCATGACAGTGGGAAGCATTATGAATGCGAAAACTGTGCCAAGGTACAGTGAAATTGTAGGGTGCCTGGAATTTTGTATACGCACCGTTGCTTATGATATGTAGAGTAACATTTTGAGCATCTTAGGTTTGGCTTCAGCACTGAAGCACATGATACCCTCATACGATGTTTCCACTGGACTGGACCACTTCAGGCAACAGGTAGGGGATCAGATTTGAAAGCTTCTCTCATGTACAAATGATTCCCTGCATATGTAAGGCAAGATGCCCACAAGAAGGCTAGGTTAGAACCTTCTCCCTGACATTTTTGTGCGTGCTTGTTTTGTATGTGCTGTAACATGCTTTTGTTAATGTGGGAGAGCATTCAAACTTGATTCATCCATCTGTAGCCTGAAATGTTTCAGTGCATCACACAAAGCTGCTGATAGTGACATCTAACTCAGAGCTTGGTACATATTTTGCACTTATGGGGTCATTTTGATGTTGTAGAGAGCACACCCACCTAAGCAAGGGGTCTGAAATCCATTGATGGTTTTCAGTCAGATGGACTATTAATTCTTATCTAACATAACAGAACTCTCAATATACTAATAGGGAAATGCAACTGACTGAATGCCAAAACTACTTGTGTGACTACTGAAACTAAGATTTAGGGTTGTATAGAGTTTTGTGGCAATTAAGCCATTGTGTTGTGTCAGCTGTTTACTCTCATTGCTTGAACAATATAACAAAAGGGAAATAATACCATCCAATATACACCTTTTGGGAGCAGATTATATGTGAGAATCTGCATATATGACATTGTAGAAGACAAATAACTCTGTTTATGAGATGCTGTGTCATGGTATTGACTGTCTGCTCTTACGTGAACTGCTTTAAGCACAAATCTATTTGTGTAAAATACAGCATAATTTTTTTTGTCTGTGCCTATGGTTTCAGTGCCACAAATGAAACATGGGGGGGGGGGAGGGTTTAGATGCATGGGTGTGGCAGAAATGTTTAGTAAATTTAGTAACTATCAATAGGTCTTATTGATGACATTGTTCTGAAATATATTTGAATAGTGTGGCAGAAAATGCTTGCTGAGTTTTGTTTCTATGAAGGCTAAGCAAACACTTAAGATTATGAAGGCGATGGGGATAATTTCTGGGACCTATCCATTTAGGATCCCAGCAACATGCAGCAATATGTATTTGGCTCATCCCCATGGGAGCTACAGTCCAAAAGACAAGAATTACTGCCCATTTGCAACCCATCCTCCATTTTCTCTGCTTAACAAAACAGGGCAAGGATAAGCTTTGACAGTCAGGACATTGCAGTTCTTAGTAAACCATTAGTAGGGACTTGGTTTAGGAATATCAGAAACAGACAGAATTGGGGGTTTAAGAAAGAAGCGAATAGTTGCAAACTGTATTGGAATGGTAATGATGATAACAACAAAGTAGCAAAAGGTTAGATTCAGATTTAGCCATGCTTAGGCTAGGCCTATTGAAAGTCATGTCTAAGTAAGTCACATTTCAGTGGATCTACTCTAAGTATCCTTTGCAGGATCCAACCTAATATTTACATCTGCCTATTGCCGTCTTTACATTTTATTATGCTGGAAATGGTCACTATTGCTACTATATGGTTTATAAATTCTAAAATATATTTTCTCTTAAATACTGTATACCCTCAGTGAAGCTAAACATGCAAAATAAATGAAACTGCAGAGATGTTTTAGTACTTCTGCACATTTTCAAACCATGTTGAAACTGGTTTAACCATTATGGCATCTTCCAAAAACCCCTGAGAGTTGTACTTTTGATGGTTAGTGATTAGAAGCTCCTAGCTTCATCATAGAATTTAGTTTCCAGGGTTTCTTGTATGGCAGCCAGGGCACTTAAGTGTGCTTGACGCTGTTTTAAATGTGTACTGTAGACAGGCCTTAAAAGTCACCTCTTCTATCTTTTAATTCACTTACATAACTGAACTCGCATAAATTATTTAAAAAAGCCAACTTTTGCCTATTCAATATGCAATGCCTCCTGGTTTGACTAGAGTCTTATGCAATTGCTGGTGTTGTTGTTTTTCCTTGTTTGCATCCAAGTTTCGTGTTTAATCAGTACTCATTTCCTAGCAGGTTTTCACGGACCCCAGCAACCTCCAGAGACACATTCGTTCGCAGCACGTTGGGGCTCGTGCGCATGCTTGTCCAGAGTGTGGTAAAACTTTTGCCACTTCTTCAGGCCTCAAACAGCACAAACATATCCACAGCAGTGTCAAGCCTTTTATATGTAAGTCTCCCACTTAACCACTAAGCTTCTGTGTCTGTCTGTTTTTTTTTAGCAAGATGCGGAATCAGATAAACATGCTCCCATTGAAGCATTAGCAATCCCAACGCTCTTTAATCAGACAGTTCCCAACTGTCTTTAACTGGATTGTGCCTTTAATCAGAAAAATAAAATTTTGTGTTGGTGGAAAGTCTGGAGCCGTATATTGCACTGACAAGCAATTTTCTTACTCCTATCAACCTCTGTAGTTCTGGGACTTGCTCAAGAAGTGTTCGGGGAGGACTTGTCTTATTTCGGCAGAATTATTAGAAATTTAATTTCCAGTCTCAACATATGGTCTTCACTCATTACTTTCCCCACAAGCAGATACTCTAGCAGATTTAACTGTAGGAAGTTAAATAAGACTTAAGGAACATAATTTCGGCTGCAATCCTAGACACGCTTAACATGAGAATGAGTCCCAATGAACCCAATCTGGCTTACTTCTTAATAGGATTATACTGCCAACTTATTGTTCTATGAATGTACGGGAACCCTTGGTATAAGATCTCCCTGCAATCTCCCTGGTACAGAAAGGGCACCTGGCAACAGATGCCTTTAAAATTCTGCAAAGCTCTGCATTTGGTGTCCGTTCAAGTCATTATGTGACAGGGAAGCTGGGGTCACTTTCCCATGTGGCATGGCTGACTGAAGGCCTGCCACTCCCTTTCTTTCTCTCTCTGTGTGTCTATGTAGAATCAGAACTCTTGTCACATTTCATTTCAGGTGTATTCCTCACTACCAAATTGGCACAGTGGTTGGTTGCGCATGCTTCTTTCCTCACACTTTTAATCTAATATGTTTTGCAAAATAAAGGCTGAATTTGTACAATCTGCTTTCATGCACACCCTAATAAACGTGATCCTATGTGCTTAAAAAGTGCATGTGCCAAAACAGGATAGTGAAGTAACCAAGTCTGGTTTGTGCTAGAAGTAGTCAGTGTGTGAATGAATTGCTGAAAATAGCACCTAACCACTGAAGGCCTTTGAGAACCACATAGAGATCACTTCAAAATCACAGAGTGAGTCTGCTATAGTTTCTAGGGTACTTGCAGCATAGCCACAAGACGCACCTTGTTTTTGTAATCTACTTCACCTTTCTCTTTTGAACTTCAAAAGATGTCACCCTGGGCTACAGCTATGGTAGGAAACTTGCATGGAGCAGCATCAACGACATAGACAGCCAAGGGTATGTGGGACGATGGAATGCAACGTAGCACAGAAGAAAGCAGACGGGAGTAACCATGTAGAAATCAGGAGAGGAATACAAACTCAGAGGAAGGCTGTAGAACCAGAATTAAGCCTATACATTCATTTGCTCCTAAAAATTCCACCCCCAAAGGCATTTCCATGGCACGAACTTTCCTTCCCTGAAGTAATGATCATGGAGGAGATCCTCTGCCTCTGCTGCGTGTTGCTACTGAGGATAGCCACTTCATGATGCCTGCTCTCTATTTGGTTAGAGCTTGTAAACCTTGTGGCAAGGAGGTGAGAATTCGCTACAGGGATGCTGCTTTGGTTCCCATATGGACCAGCTCTTGGAGGAGAGCACTCCGCGTATTTTTCCTGCCTGTTTCATTTCAGAAGCTGCCTGGTATCTGAGACTCTGTGGGCAATTCTGGAAATACTTTTATAACCTCATTTTATATTGTGTGCTCTGGCATACTTCCCTAGGCCCAAGTCTAATTATGCTTTGAACCTTTTGTAAGTTTATTTATTTATTCTTAATGTAGCCTCAGGAAGAAGAGCTACTGGTGGATGTGACTAATAAAGTGTAAGAAGATTCCACCAAATGAGATTCCCTTGAGCAAACCACCGAAAACCCTGGAATCGTTCCAAATGATTGCTAATTTCAAAACAGCTTCTAGCTACTCTTTCCTAAAGGAAGAGGCCATCTTCATAGACAAACTCAACAAAGAATCCTTATTGACTTAGTTATGTGAGAGCCTTTCAGTAGCTGTCCGCATTGAGAATTATGGCAGTGAAGCTTTATCACCGAACGTATTTCATTCTATTCAGTTGGTTTCAAATTTGTCTAAGCAGAAGTCAAGGCAAGTCAATATTTTACTTTTTTTATTTTTAAAAATGCAGATAAAAAAGTGGGGGAATAAACCAAGATGCTATCACCACTGTTCTTGGAAGCTGTTGTTGGGGACAACTTAACTATTGGATAAAATTAAACTGTAAAAGAGGAGCCCAGTCAAATTACTACCTGCACCATGGTACAATTACCTGGGATCTTGTGGCGAATGTTTGCTTTTTCCTCACCTGTTGCCCTGGACATTCCTTGCTTCTCAGAATTTTGCAGTGGCTGCAGGAGTTATCACAGCAGAATGAAAGGTGTAGCAGGAAGGCGTCTGTCTCTGAATGTATGACTTCTGTGTGTGTATCCGTTTCCCTTGAATTGTGTGTTGTTCGCAACAATATGGTTGACCAGTGTCCTAATTCATACTTTTCCCATTAGCTGATCCTAGGTTTGATTTTTTTTAAAAGATATTTGAGATACAGTATGCGAAGTGATTGGATGATTCCAAGGCACCACTTAAGTCCTAGGTGGTGGTGTTTCAGTACAGTAAATACTTTATAGACATGTCTCTCAACTAAGTTAATATTCAATAAAACACAACAGTTTATACTGCATAGCACTTCTGGCAGTGGAACCTTTGGGAACTGTTTGGCTGAGCTGGTGTAGCACAAAATGTTCAGCATTGGTGAGGGGAAGAAAACATCCTTGGAAGAGGTCTCAAGACATAGGGAAGAAAGGACAGGAGGCCAAGAGCTAAGCAAGCTGAAGAAAGAGAAGATGGAGAAGTCCTGAAGAAAAGGGACAAAAGGGCACTAAGTCAAGAAGGGCACAAGAAAGAGTGAGCTCTGAAGAAACACAGAGGTGTGCAAATCAGGAAAGGCTGTATGCTATGGAGGGATAGGAATTCTGAAGGAGAGTGGCTAAAGGAATCAAAGAATCATAATTGGAAGGTACCATGAGGGTCATCTAAGTCCAACCCCCTGCAATGCAGGATTTTTTTTGCCCAATGTGGGGCTCGAACCCACAACCATGATATTAAGAGTCTCATGCTCTATCAACCGAGGAAGTGAGGCACTCAAACACTGGGTGAATGAGATATGTAAATGAAGGAAAGAGGAGCCAAGGGGGGGGGAATTGGGCTGGGAACTGTGGGCCAGGGAACCAAGGGTACATTAGTGTAGAGCCTGATAGGAGAATTGTACTAGATGTGTCTTTTATTGTTATTGTTTCATTTGATTTGGCCACCCTACGGGAGGACAACAGGTCTAATAAGTCTGTTGGTGGAGAGGCTGAATAGCATTTTACATATTGATTTGAAACAAGCAGCCAATGTTTTGACTGCAGGCTTCTATTCCACTAAAACATTTTCAATTGGAAAGTCTATGTGCTGCCCTATCCTATTGATCAACTTTAGCAAGAGCGCTATAAACACAGCTGTTACATTTAAAGTTAGATCTCATGGCTGCCCAAATCAACCAACTGCATGCTATTCAGGAAGATACCTTAAGGCACTGCATGACGATTAGTAGAAGCTCAGCAATAATTTGACACAGTGATGCCAACACTACGCACTGTTTCCTCAGGAGATTGCTCTAATTAAAATTAAGTAAATCACGGCACACAGGGAGTTCTTATGATTGCTATATCAAGCTGTCTTGAGAGCCCTTTGGATAAAAAAACAGCATAAAAATGGAAAATAAATACAGATCTTCCTTCTGCCCCACTGTCATCAATATCATTATGATGTTAGTAATTGTAATTAAATAGCCAATTTTTAATCTGTGGGTTAGCAAATTAATCTGCTGATTAATTTGACATTAGACATAGACACTGAGTAGTTAATAATTGAGAATTATGTAGTTTTTTTAATTAACTACTTAATTCTAAATTATTAACTACTTAATGTCTGTGGCTCAATTCTCATGACTCTGAAAGCAGATTGAAATATAGATTATCTGAATGTGAGGGGCAAGCAGTTTAAGATGTTAAAAGAAAACTAGGAATGGATGACTGACTTGAGCATCTTTCTTTCTTTTTTAATCCATGTTTTGATGAAACGATCTTGCCTACCTACCCAATGGCGAGGCAAGTGGCATGTCTTTATTTCAAGACTTGCATCTCTCACGGTGGGAAGTTCAGATCACTTTTAATGTTATGTGAATCCTTCCTAATTCCATGCCTTTCCCCTCTTGTTCTGACATCAGGTCGAACAGCATAATGTGGTTTTACTTTCTATTGAATGTACAAAGAGCTTCCAAGGAAGGATCAGTTAACAGAATTTTTAAGCTTGCTATATTGCACTACTGGGCCACAGAATCCAGATACACACAGCATGAAGGTGTGGGGTCAAACAGGAAGCCAGTTTAATGGAGAGAGGGGCCAACCTGCAATTTCATATCAGCCCATGGGGACTTGTGGTTCAAACTCTTGAGAACCAACGACCAGCTTCCTGTAGCTCTCGAATTAACTTCTTCAGTGTACGAGAACATACTCCATACATTCATCAAGGGAGCAGTTGAATGAATCTGTGTGAGCCTTGAGTCTCAATAATATATCAACATGATTTTTAATGGCTTAAAAGAATCCCTCAGAGGGCTGTGGTCCTGCTCCTGGAATGGTTGATATTTTTATATATTTGTGCTTCAACTTATTTAAGCAAGCGAAAACATAATTAACCAGACCCAGTTATGACCGTTGTTTAAAGATTTGTGTTCCCTTGCCTGACATCACAGGCTGTCTTTTTAATATTAGTGAAAATAAAATAATTAGTGAACAATAGCTTCCAGCCATATAGGGACCATTCATACCCTGCGGCTCCAGTTCCTTTTTTCTTTTCTTTTCTTTAAAAGAAAATTCAGATGCTCTGCCATTCTTTTCAAATTAAATCACATGGAAAATGCTTCTTCCCTGCTTTTTTCATTAATCAGCAATTGCTAGTGTAACCAAAAGAGCAACTGTGATTTTTCAAATGCAAAGGATGATGGACAGAAAAAACCATAGGACAATTATGAATAATTGCCGTGTAATTACAGAACAAAAGAATTTAAAGATCACATGTCAGGGTAGGATTTTCTGAGCGCTTGTGGCTGGGGGTAGAGGGTCACCTAGAGCAGAGATATCTGATTCCCAGCAAAAAGGCCACACACCATGCTGTACCTTCTCAGTCTGTTTATGGCAACTGTCTCTCGTTACAGTATGCCGCCCTGGCTTGGGAGCAAACTCACCAACACCAACTCACCAACACAAAGGTAATTACACACTGCCTGCCTTCATAAAACCTCCAGCTTGCTCAAATAGAAACCACATGTTGGAATAGACAGCAATGCATTAAAAATAGCACTTAACAGTCATGTGTTTAATAAGCAGAAAATATGCGAACTTCACTTCTAGCTAATTTCTTGGTCCTAAATGCTTAAGTCATTGATGGATTATAATGTATTTGGTATCTGGTGTGGGAAGGATTGCAATGGTTAGATGAGTACAGAGTCAAGACGGTGTTGAAAACATAGAGGCCGGGAAATAAGACCCCTGGCTTGGAAATTTAAAGCAAATGTAAGGTTATAGAATATAAGAATGTAATGTTATAGAATATAAGGGTTTATCAAGGTGGAAGAGAAAATGTCTCACTGTAGATCCACTCCTGTAATAGCTTGACTTGGCTTAGTTTAAAGTAAAAATGTATATTGAAGTTAAAGGGACTGGCAGGGTTGGAGTGCTACACTAAGAATGAAGCTTACTGGTCTCTTCACATTCTACCATGCATTAGGCAATCCTTTTCCACTCATGACAAATTTTAAAGCGCTTTCAGTCTATTTACTTGCACAAAAATACGTTCATCTCCATTTCAACGCTGTCTTTGTCACAAGAATTCAAATGAATGCATCCTATGTTTTCTTTTACACTCTCTGTTATTGTGAGCTTCTGATTACCATAGATTGAAGGCAAACAATAATGAATGACCATTACCATCACAACCTTTCCTGTGAGCTTCCTGAGGCATTTAATTCGCTACTGCAGCCTTGAGAGACTTAGTTTGATCCACCCAAACGGTTCTTCTGTTTTAAATAGTTGGTTTCCAGTCCTAACTTTATGCGCAGTCACATCATTCACTAATTTAACCAAAACCCAACAATTCTGTCAATATAAATTTAGGATTATTTCTGTGATGAACTACTGAAAGCATCACCTGACTAGTGGTCGCAATGCACAACCCTACTACCCAAACTTACTCTGAGTGTCAGGGTCCTGGGCCATAAGACCTTTTCCATCCATTGTAATTGGAGAGAGGGTTCCGTTTGTGCAAATAGCATTGTGTAGAAAGCTGCCCTGTTCCATGGAAGTGAATGGAGAAGCCTGTATGCCCCAAGCTGGAGATTAGGACAGTTCTTTTTATAGTGGCAGAGAAAACTGCCAAATAAGGGAAGGAATTACTATAGCGCAAAGTGATTTGGTGTACTTGTTTCCTCATTCTGCCTCTTGCTATCATCCCAGACATAACTGCTGAATCAGGAGATGAGGCCAACCTGAATTCAGGCCATTATGCAGATCTTGAACATTTATGGCTACTGATACAATAGGTTATGTAATGGAATCTGCAAGGGGTCTCCTATCCTCTCTCCATCGTATCAATGTATTAGTGTGCTGCAGTTTGATGCATTCTAATGATTTCGGCTATAATTTTAAAAGTGAATGTTTGCCCTGCCAGATAATCTTGCCTTGTTGTGAAGGCCATTAAGAACTACTCATCTCAACTGGTAGTATTGTTGTCTGCTTAGTTTTAAATTTTAACCACTATGTCAGCTGTGTCTCAGATTGCTAGGCATGAAAGCCATTTTATATTTGTATATCTCTGATGTATTTTCATGTGTAAATAAGTGCCAGCCTATTATCTTTGAGAAAGGGAACAACTGAGTACCTCTGTATATATTAGAAGTCTTCCTGCTTGCATATCAAATCTATTATTTCTTTGTTAAATTTGTATTCTGTCTTTTCTACAAGAGCTCAAAGTCTCTCACCTGGATATTACTTTGGCCAAGATCTATTTAGTAAATTCCAGCAATGCAACTGTACCATGTGCCTTCAGACCAGTTAAGAACCTGTGCATTTCTTTATTGTGCAATGCCATACAATTCTGTTCACAAGCACGCCCCATTAAGTTCAACAATAATAAGACTTATAGGATTGCAAGTTGGATACCATACAAATCAATAGCAACTTCACTATTAGAAGTCTTGAACACTGTGATAGAGGAATGCCATCTGCATTGGGCTTTAAAAGCAATAAATATCCCAAATTAAATTGACAGATCGAAGAATTTAATTTAGAAAAAATTCCAAATGTTTCTCCAATCTGTGTGATATTTTCTGCAAATAAAGGGAAAATACCTCACACTTAGAAAGATCAAATTAAACTTGCTACTGTTCTCGTGTGAGTAATATTTTTTTCTTAATACATTTTTTTGGCTGGAGCATTCCTTGTGAATGAAAGGTATCTTACAGGAACCCTGGCTGATACAGAGCAATAACATTCTTCCTGAATTGTACATTTCTTTGGCTTGCACCCAACCCTGCAACTGTTACTCTAGCTGTTGTCTGATAGATATCAGCAAGGCAACTCATCTGAGCCAGGCAGGTGGAATCAGGGCCTTCTCAGACAATGGAAGTCTTTGTTGTTGTGATGGGAACAGATAGCTACAGGGTAAACATTTAAGACAGACAACAAGCGGGCAGGTTCTCAAGGATAAGCTTTATAAGAGCAGGAAGGTTAGCATCAGCCACGGTGTACATGGAAGTCAGAGGACGTGATTATAGTTCATGGGAACCAAGAGTGCAGGATGGGATACATTCAATTCAGTTTCCTTTGCAGGCTTAAAATAGAGCCATTGTAAATTATGTCAGCCTGTCTGAAACCACTAAAATAATTGTTAAGAAGGTCTGAGAATGCACAATATGCATTGTTGTATGGCTTTGATGTGTGAAGGGCAAGAGCCTGTGATATAACACAAACTGAGCAAAAGTTAAACTGTTCAACTCCTCTTCACTGGAGGAAGCTGAGTTTTAATGCATAAGGATAATAACCATACCTGCTATTTAGAGTTTAGAGTGGTGGTATATAGCCAAAGTGGCAACATCCACACCCAGGAGGGAAGTGTCAGCAAGCTTGGAAGAACCTTAAGTTTTGCAGAAGGACAGAAAACCTTGACGGGGAAAAACCCCTCAATAAGCTCAGTGAGAATTGAACATGTTCTGGGGCCATGGAATACTGACTGATTTGTTGGGGTAGAGGAGATAGAAAACCGAGTTGGAGGGGAAATGGAACAGTATAATCCTGGATGACTGACTGCAACACCCCATGCTGCAACATTTTATTGCAGGCTCATCTATTTTAAAATTTCAGGCTGTGTGTGCCAATTATATTCCCATACAAAAGGGAGGAATCAGCCAGGAACTCTTAAGGTTTTCAGAAGTATGTTTTTTGTTGTGTTTTAGGGAAAACCCTAAGCGGGAGGGAGCCCCTCCCAACAGCCCAAAGCCTACTAGCTGTGCTTGGTGACCATGGAATGCTAAGTAACAACCGAGGAAGACACAAAACTGGAAGGAGAATGGAATGACCGAAATCTTTTACGGCAGCATGCCACAAACAGCAATGCTTTCTTGCAGGTCCTCCTTGCATTTGCGCTGATTTTGAAGAAAACTTACCACATACCTGTGTTGGCAAGGCCCTGCCAAGAGCACACATTTGTTCTGAATGCAGATTTGTTTTAGTAAATGACCACAGGAATTGTTCCAACTGTAGAAATTAGCTTAGAAAATGTATTCTTTGTTCATGGTGCACATATACAACCACAGTACCTTATTTCTGAAATCAGACCAGTATAGCTATCATGGTTATGCAGTATATATATAGAAGTATATATCAAAAGAATTAAACCTGTGGTAACTTCTGTTCAGACTTTCTTAGAAAAAAGTAACTTTATATGCTTGTGCAATCAAAATAATGGAGCGAACCACAGGGTCAAGTTACTCATGCATATGCAAGGCTCAATATGGTATTCTCTTCTGCAATTATGTCTTATGTCTCTAGATATCATTGTACTATAAAGCAGTGACCATAATCCAGAACTCCACGTATGTGCAAAAGATTGGCTTGCATGTAACATTTTTGTATCTCTTCTCAACTTGCAAGTAGGGGACTGCTGAATCGGAAGGACGACAGGGGTTTCAGGTGCATGCACATGGATTTTTCTGGATCCTGGCCAATGCATATAAAAACTCAAGGCTGTCAAATATTATGAAAAATAAAACAATATGATACTAATGTTGATTTTTTTAAAAAGGGAAAGAAATGTGGGGATTTTCATTTTCTGCTTCTTATTATATTTGCCTAACTGAATTCCTTGTTTTGGTGGTTGGGACAATTTTGGTTTTTTTACATGTAATCTGCACTCAGACTCATCCTTTCAGATGTCTGACTAACAATGCAGCCCCTATACATGTTTAAGGCCTTGGTGCTGTCCATTGTTGGTCATACTCAGAACAGACCCATTCAAATCAACAGACTGTGTTAAATGGGGCTTACTCTTAAGTGTATGCACATAGGAATGCTGGTTGCAGCCATAGTTGCATATACAAGGATATAAATTCCATTGAACTCAGTGGGTCTTATTTCTGAGTAAACATGTTTAGGAATGAGCTCTAAGTAAGTTTTCTAAAAGTGTAAGAGACTTCAGATGCTCAGTTTAAAGCAGCTGGGTGGGACTGAATGGGGTGTGGGGGGGGGAGGAACAGAAAAAATTACTTTAAATCCTGAGTTTTTGTTGTTGTTGTTGTTTACACACAGGTGAGGTCTGCCATAAGTCCTATACTCAGTTTTCAAACCTTTGCCGTCATAAGCGTATGCATGCTGATTGCAGAACCCAAATCAAGTGCAAAGACTGTGGACAAATGTTCAGCACTACGTCTTCCTTAAATAAACACAGGAGATTTTGTGAGGGCAAGAACCATTTTGCGGCAGGAGGATTTTTTGGCCAAGGCATATCACTTCCTGGAACCCCAGCTATGGATAAATCTTCCATGGTTAATATGAATCATGCAAATCCGGGCCTTGCTGACTATTTTGGTGCCAATAGGCATCCTGCTGGTCTTACCTTTCCAACAGCTCCTGGATTTTCTTTTAGCTTCCCTGGTCTGTTTCCTTCAGGCTTGTACCACAGGCCACCTTTGATACCTGCTAGTTCTCCTGTTAAAGGACTGCCAAACACAGACCAATCAATCAAAAGTCAAAGTCCCCTCATGACACATCCTCAGACACTGCCAGCTACCCAGGATATTTTGAAGGCACTAAATAAGCACCCACCTAACCTAAGTGAAAATAAGCCAGTGGAGCTTCAACCAGAAAGGTCCTCCGAAGAGAGGCCACATGAAAAAATCAGTGACCAGTCAGAGAGTAGTGACCTTGATGATGTCAGTACCCCCAGTGGGAGTGACCTGGAGACCACCTCTGGCTCTGATCTGGAAAGTGACATTGAAAGTGATAAAGAGAAATGTAAAGAAAATGGTAAAATGTTCAAAGACAAAGTAAACTCTCTGCAGAATTTGGCTTCCGTAAATAATAAGAAAGAATACAGCAATCATTCCATCTTCTCACCATCTTTAGAGGAGCAAACTGCGGTGTCAGGAGCTGTGAATGATTCTATAAAGGCCATTGCCTCTATTGCTGAAAAATACTTTGGTTCGACAGGACTTGTGGGGCTACAGGACAAAAAGGTTGGAGCCTTACCTTACCCTTCCATGTTTCCCCTCCCATTTTTTCCAGCATTCTCTCAGTCAATGTACCCATTTCCTGATAGAGACTTGAGACCGTTACCTTTGAAAATGGAACCCCAATCGCCAGGTGAAGCAAAGAAGATCTTAAAGGGAAACTCCGAGTCTCCCTTTGACCTTACCACTAAACGTAAGGAGGAGAAACCACTTACTCCTATAACCTCAAAACCAGCAGCTCCATCAGTGACCAACCAGGACCAGCCTCTAGATTTGAGTATGGGCAGCAGAAGTCGAGCTAGTGGTACAAAACAGACTGAGCCTCGGAAAAACCATGTGTTTGGAGGAAAGAAAGGAGATATTGATCTTGAATCAAGGAAGTCATCGGACATCTCTTTGCAACATGCAAGGCCAACACCTTTCTTTATGGATCCCATTTACAGGTAATACACATGAAACAAGCTATACAGATGGCCCAAATGGCCTATGGTCCTCAGTCATTTAATGTAATAAAATGCACAAATAGTTGAAATTTGAATGAATGCAGCTTAGGGACTGGGGATTTTTAAACATTTATTCTCTTAATACAAAATAATTATTATATCTGAAGCAATTTTCCCTTCAGAAAAAAATAATGTATTTAAAAATTGGCAGTCAAATCCAGCTTTTGTTTGCAAACTAGGAACGTCGATCTCCACTGCAATCAAAGGTGTTTCACTCAAGAACTCAAAACACGTTGTACCATAGCAACACAACGTGGAACTCAAGGGTAAAATTCTGCCTTTATTTACAATCAAGTAATCTACTGATTTGTTTTTAATTATTGGGAAGTGTTTGTTGCACTCTGCTGTGCAGAGTATTACAACTAATGCCAAAGGAACTGCATGATAAATAGTAATATAGCAATGAAATAACAATAATAGTAAATATTACTTAGTGTGTTCGGATATCTTATTGAACACAGGACAATAGAACAATTATTCCAAAGGGAAATAGCAATGTATGCTATTTTCTGGATCTATCCAGGGAGACACCTGATAGAGCCGGTGCATTCAAACAAATTCAATTTGATATTCCTGATTAGAGATTTTTCTGGGTTTTCATAAAATAGTTTCTTTATTTGCTACATTGAATGGGTACTGTCTTCCCAGTGATCTCTGGAAAGGCAATACAATAAATTGTTCCCCCAAGTTTGCCACTTCAAATGGCAGGCTAGCCAAGTTTCTCTCTTTGTAAGTAAGAGCCCAAGCCTGATGGATCTATCATCAGGCATGCAGCTGCACCAAAATATAGTTTCCTCATGAGTGGAAGTATTCTAGCTGCCCCCTGACAATGCAGACTAGTGTGTTTCCCATGAGTATATTGACTTCTGTTGGCGTACAGCCGTAGGTGCGTATGTGTTGCAAAAGAGAAAGCATACCACAAGAACAGATAAACAAAAATCTAAACAAAACGCAATTGGACAAGGGATAACAACGGCTGCCGGCTGCCTAAGGTGTTCATTCCCATGCTTGTTTGGAGGTTCTAGCAGGGGAGCACAGCTATCGTATACCCTTGACCGAAGAACGGTACACTCCTTCTATCTGGGATGGTCGTCCTCTTCCACCGAGCGCGCAGCTTCGGGAGGGACGCACATGGAGCGGTGAGGGAGGAAGGGGACACCCGCCTAGCCAGCCAGATCAGCCAAATCAACCCTGGCGATCAATGGGGTGACAGATGTCGCAGCCAGATCGCCCTCACATCCAATTCCCATGTAATATGCCAGCACACAGCAAGAGTACAGCAAGAGTTGTCTAAATTAATTAAATAATTAAAGGCTCTTTAATTAAAGCCCTCAATAACCCACCCACAGAGCAGAGAGCTCACTGCATCTCTGCATGATTTACTGCTGTGGCTTAACATCCTTTCAATGAACCTCTACTTTGGATGGCAATGCAGAGATGGCAGCAGAATTACCCACCCTCAGAAGGGCCTCCAATCTGCCTGTGCTTGAGTCACTGCTCTGGCCTCGCTTCTTTCCCACCAGGAGACATACCCAGATCAGTGACTCATGCAGAAATACAGGGAGCGGGGGGCTCCTCTGAGAGTGAGTAATTTTTACTCTTACATATTCTACAACTATGCTGTTCAGGTTAAACAGGGAAAGGAACATTTTTATTATATATTTTGAAAGAATAAAGTTTGGAAAAAACTGGCCTACGTTTATGAACAAGTGCTGAATGACGCCAACTTGCTGTTTTCGAATATCACATCTGGATATTCATTCATGGGATTTAGACCTAAATAAATATAGCATCCTGTTAAAATTATTCTCCCCCCCCCCCCCCGATTTTGTTTATTTCTGTAGTATTTGTCTACTATGGAATTTGCTGCTTCAGTCACTTGGCACAACTTAACAAATCTACAACTTCCAAATGTAAAACAAAAAATCCTCTCATTCTTTAAACAGTTAGCCAATATTGACATGATATAAACTTGGCAGACCTTCATGATGAGTTACAAAAAAACCATAATCCTATTTGGGGGGGAGAAAATATGAATATGGAAATAGAAATAGATGTATTTTGTATTTGAAGCGGTGAGTGTCAAGGCTGACATATTTGGAACTCATTTCCCATACTTCAAAAGCAGATAATATTATTAATAGTGGAACAATAATAAATGCTTCGTAGAAAAAAATTCAGTCCAATTGTTTGTTTGTTTTTAATATTTGATTTTGTTCCATAGAAAATTGGCCATTTCAGCTCTGTAGTTTTGATAATATAGTTATGGTTTTGATAACTGTGCTCAGACCACTCAGCAGTTTCTGTTGCGCATAATAGTAGATACTTGAAACTGGAATGTTTCCAGAGCCATTGGCGTAGTTTTTTAAGGGGTGCCCACTAGCCTCATTGACATTAAAGAGCATAGTGAATTGCACCTCCTTGTCTTTGATCTATGCGCCTGAGCAGTTTTGCCTCTTGTTCTGAATCCAAGTTATCAAATAGTTATCCATATGTGAGACTGAGTCATCACAAGAACATTCTTATTTTAACATTTACAGAGTAGAAAAAAGAAAGCTAACTGACCCACTTGAAGCTTTAAAAGAAAAGTACTTGAGACCATCTCCGGGATTCCTATTCCACCCACAAGTAAGTATTTTTTACAATCAAGATGTTGTGATGGTAAACAAACATGTTAAGCCATAGACACAGGTGCACAGGAACAACGAGAATCTTAGTCATTATCAGATTTCCTAGAACATACAAGTTTTAGTGAGCAGGGAGAAACAAACCATGTAGCATTGTTTTACTTTTCACAATGTTTTTCAGGAAGACTTCAAGAGAATAGTGCAACTGTCTCCACATGCCCAGTGGAATTCTGGGGTTGTGTGTCTCAGATGCCACAAGAGAAGCCCCTTAGGGTGTATACTGGAAGTAGTCTTTCATCTGTAAGAAAAATGCCCAGAAGTCGCACTATGCAGACTGGCATGAGCAAAATGCCAGGCATACCCAAAGCACCTCCCTGAATTTCTAGCCTCTGTTTTCAAGGCACTGTGCTTGTTAAACTAAGTTCTTATGCAGTTATGCCAAACAAAAGCACCTGGTGAAATGATAATATGACTGATCCACCATATGTCTACTTCTCAATTTTTCAAGATATGTCAACAGGGAGCAACTTCTGGTATTTGCTTATGTCATACCTGCCAGGGGGCAAAAATGCCCAACCCAAGTGCATGACAGACAGGCTCAGTCACAAGTTTAGGGTCTATTTTGTTTCTAAGCCACAGGAATTTGTGGGTCCACCTTAATACATAACCTTTGCCACCTGTAACTTCTTGATGCATGAGATAAAATTGAGCACTGCTTGGATAGACTTCACCATTTTTGTTTTGTCAGGTCAAGGTGGCTTCTTCTGGTTATGCTAGTTTAGTAGCCTAAACAAAGGTCTAGGATCTTGGAATTCTAATTTCTAATGCTATGTTTCATTTATAACACTATAGGCAAACACCGATATGATTGTTAACCTCCTTGTTAACAGAATGCTCCACAGTACTGTAGAAAGCCACTGTTTTACTGTTGAAAATGATTATGCGCAGCTTAGCAGGCATGGCCAAGCTCAGAGGATAAGGTTATGAGAACTTGTCAGCAACCGTATTTGTGGTAGTCCAAATTAGTGTAGGCTGGCATTCAGGGAAGATTTATTTCTTAAGAATCTACCAATAAGTGGATAAAGAATGCATAGTTTATACTAACTGAAACCTGGCTTAGGACACTTCGGGACAAAATTATAGGGATGCAGTACATTGCCCAGGCAGGTGCACTATGTGACCCATGAGAGCAGTAAAATAGCCAGACTGTACAACAGTGATGGGATAAAATCAGGCCAAATCTTTATTGACAGCAGCAGACAGGGCAAGGGTTGGTATGGCATTGGGTCCCTGGATCAGTTCATCATTCCACAAGCCCCTTGTTGATGGGATGGATCTGCTGGGTCTGGATCGCTCCAAACCTGCACAACAGGAGTCGCCCAGTGCTGAACCTTGCCGTGGTGCAAGCCAAGCAAGCAAGGTCTCACTAGGGACCAGAGTGCAGATTCCAACTGGGCAGATACCGAACCCACGATTGGGTTTGCCATGGTTCATCCTCCCCTCAGGCCCCTTATGGGGGCCCCCCTACACTATGTTGATCCTGACCAATGCCATTTCCGCCCTCATACAAAAAATGTTCTTCCGTCTAACCAAGAAAGTTGGGAAGTTTTTAATATTTAATAATAATAACAATAATTTATTTATTTATTTATTTATATTATTATTATTATTATTATTATTATTATTATTATTATTATTATTAAAGCCATAATTTCACTGAGGGAAAGGCAGAAAAAAACCCCAACCAAGTGCCAGTCAGGGAGGGGGGGGAGAGAGAGAGAGAGAGAGAGAGAGAGAGAGAGAGAGGAAGGAAGGAAGGAAGGAAGGAAGGAAGGAAGGAAGGAAGGAAGGAAGGAAGAGAAAGAAAGGAAGGAAGGAAGGAAGGAAGGAAGGAAGGAAGGAAAGAAAGAAAGAAAGAAAGAAAGAAAGAAAGAAAGAAAGAAAGAAAGAAAGAAAGAAGGAAGGAAGGAAGGAAGGAAGGAAGGAAAGAAAGAAAGAAAGAAAGAAAGAAAGAAAGAAAGAAAGAAAGAAAGAAAGAAAGAAAGAAATCCTTTCCGGCTCTGTCAACCAGCAACCCTCAGTTGGTCAGTGAAGGCTCTAAGCCAGTGCTTTTTTTTCTTCTAAAATTTTTTCTTAGGGATACTCTCGTTTTCCTACTCATATTGAAATACTGCCTCTCAATGAGGCCAAACTTAGATTCACAAAATGTTTAGGGGTATGTGTACCCCTGCATCCCTCCAGAAAAAAGCACTGTTCTGACCCAAGGGTGCCACCATGGGCAGGAAGCTCTCAAAGCAAAATGGCTGTGAGCTCCAGGGGAAGCAGCCTTATATAGGCTTTCCCCTCCCCTCTTCAGCAAGGGCTCATGGGACAGCTTTTACCTTGCCCAGTATTTTGCTGCAATCTATGGGCCATAGCGCTGCTGGGCAAAGGGGTCCCATGCTTATTAGGCACAGAATGGGGCTTGGCAATGCTTCTATATTTTATTTTTTGTGTGCGTGAGGCTCCAGGCTCAACCCTAGTATCACAATTGGTATTTTGAATTAAAAAACAACAACAATTGCCAAGCATAAAGTGTTTCCTTCCAGGACTAATGCATGCACAAATGTTAAGTCTCATATGCAGTCATCCTCATGGCATCAAAACAGACTTGGAAAATCTTTTACATTACAGATTAAGCTCACATCCACAGGGTATACCTCAGTCAAGAGCCTTGAGATATTTTCTCCATAGTGGCTGCTGTGACTGAGACAAAAGGGAGATTACTGTACTATTGTTAATAAACGATATAAATCGAGACAATATGGAGTCAAACCCATCTTTCTTTGTTACTCCTCTTATCACCAATCGATGGTGAGTTAAGCATTCTATAACTGTTCTAATTGTTTTTTGAGAGCCAGCAAAAAGCAGTAGCTAGAGTATGAGAACTTAGTTACAATTTTTGTTTTGTCATGAGGATGCTAGCAAAAAACTGCCTTCTATATAAAGTGATTGCTCTTTGACATAGCTTTTGAACTGTTCACATGGGGGAACTCACAAGAAATGGTTCTTATGCCTTCACGTATGATGGAAAGAATGGATGATGTGCAATGTGATGGACCCAATCAAAATGGTACAACAGGGAATCAGTTATTACAGGGTGAATGTTTTCAACATCTTCTCAGTGGCAAATACAATGTGTGTTTTGGTGTTTAGGCTGGCATGATGTAAATCCAATGCATAGAGTGGGATGTACTCTTATTCTGATCTCTGCCCCAAAATGTGAGAAGGGTGATCTGAATACAGAACAGTGAGATGTGACATGCCATAAACATGATTGCTAAGTGGCCTCTTCAGCACTCTGGAGCTTGCATTGCTCCCAGGGACTCCAGTGAGCTGCAAGTAATGAAGTAGACTGGACAACTGTGAGGCCAACCAAACACTTGCTAGAACACATAATCATGCCTGTTGCATGGCAGAGAATAGCTTACTTTGCTGCCTCCACTGCATGCATCCACAAGCAAGTGGGCTACAGAGCTGTTCATGATGGTCCAGGGAATGTCAAAACCTTCTCCAGTGAACTTTGAGAATAAAATTGGTTGCATCTGCAGCAATTTGGACTATAATTTTGTTGCAGATCCCACTGAGATGTCCAGTGCATCAGCTGATCTTACTCTGTGGGGTCTGTTGCAGTTAGTGAGGCATTGAAGACATGAACAAGGTGCCTGCAGCAGTGCTACCAATCATGTGCTTTCTTGATCCCTGCTGCTCTTGACTGATAAGGACTAGGCAGGAAGTGGCTATGACCAGGTGGGTTCAGGGTGTGGTGGTGAGCTGGTTGTGCCACCATTCCTCAAGAAACCCACCCTGGACCTGTTGGTGTATGACAACTATTGCCTAGTCACCAATATCCCCATTTTGAGGAACTAGAGAGATCCACAGTAACCCAGCTGTAGGAACTCTTGGATAGTACTGATTTTCAGGACCCAACTCAGTGCCTGGATGTAGTTGTGGGATGGATGAGGGCCAGTGAGATGACGGCTCTGTAAGTAAGCAGTTCTTGGGTTAAGGAAATAATTCACCTGTTCTGGAGGGGGTGCACTCCCTCTGAAATGGTTCCATCGTTGCTACTAGAGACCCAAGTGACCATAGTGGCTAGGACTAGGAGTGCCCTTTACCAGGTTTAGCTGGTGCAGTAGTTACGATGGTTCCTGGACAGGGATAGCTTAGTCATAGTGACCCATGCATTGGGTAATGTCAGCAATGGATTACTGCAGTGTAGCCTTTGCAGGGCTCATTCCAAGGCTGGTTCAGAAGCTGCAGCCAGTACAGAATGCAGTAGCATGGCTGCTCAGTGGAGTTGCAGATTGTGAGCATATTGTGAACATAGCAGAGGCAAGTGCATTGGCTGTTAATATGCTATTGAGCCTGGTTTGAGGTTTCGCTGTTAGCTTATAAAGCTTGAACAAATGTATCCGAAAGAGTGCCTTCTCCCATATAGACAGCCCAACTCATTGAAATCAGCACATGGGAATCTTGTGGTGGCACCACAGCCACTGGTATTCTGGCTTGTATTCAACAGGTAGAGAGGTCTTTGCCTACCTGGGAAATTAGGCTTGCATAAGCTGCATTATGTTTTAAGTATGTCGTAAAAAGGTGTTCGCTCCAAGAGGCATCTTTTGATTAGTAATGTTGCTGCATACACGGTGATCAGATTGGACTACTATATATTTATATATATCTATTGTTTTATACTGATTGTTTTTGTTGCTTTGTAATTCTGTGTTGTACACTGCTTTGGATATTTTTAAATATAAAGCAGTATATAAAGATTTTAAATAAAATAAAATGCAGGATTTCTGCAAAAGCTGGCCTTGGGCCTCAGCTACTCCATATGAAGCAAAAATGTGGCTTTGAGCTACTTTAAAGGTTGTGTAATAAATACATACTGGAAAGGGGGGAAAGGAAAAGAACAGGAACCATGGGGGGGGGGGCGGGTGGAGGGAAGTTGGCAGGGAGCAATTATAAGAAGGGACATAAGGAGATCCTGCTGGATCAGGCCTGCAGCCCATGTAGCCCAGCCTCCTGGTCTCACAGATGGGCCAGCCAGATGCCGGAGGGAAAGCTGGAAACAGGACCTGAGGAAAGGCTGCCATGCAACACCTTTTCTCTAACAACCACACTACGTTTTGTCACATGACCAAGAGACAGTCCCTTTGTCTGTACCCAGGAAGATTATGTAAACTTCATCACATCTTTTAGTTCTGCCAAACTTCATATTCTGAGAGCCGCTTCTAACATTAAGTTCTGAAGGGGTAAAATCTTCACACAAAGCTGCTTGTTTGAAACAGATATACTTTTTAGAATGAAATGAAAACTATTTACTTTTTAAAATGAAAACTATGGGGATTTCCATATAAATTAGGTAACTGACAGTGAATGTCTACCCAGACCATCTGTCATGTATGCTTTAGTTGAGTTGAGCTTCCTGCATTCCAGGGAGTTGGGCTAGATGGCCCTACAATTCTGTGATTCTCTATTCCCAGATAAGTGGGTACGTGATTGCAGCTGAGAGTGTTATTTTCCTAGGATTAGCATGTCATGACATCAGCAGTGATCACAGACACTGAGTTCAAAGCAGTAGCTGTGTTCAGCAACCAAAGTTCAGAGGTGACTTAGTGGAAGGTGGATGAAGTGAACTATCTCTACCCTTCTCTCTCACCCCTATATATCAATGCCAGTCACTCTCCCACTTCACAAACCATTGCTATGTTTTGCTTGTGGGAAATGTACACAAACCTGTTGCCCCTTTAGAAGTATTTTTGTGTGGTTGGCTAACACTGTGTTAGGTGTTTATCAGCTACAATAACCCGAGAGCCAGAATGCCATAGTTGTTAAAGTGGGGAGATGCATATTCAAGTCCCCACTCAGCCATGAAGATCACTGGATGACTATGACCCAGTTACTCTCAGCCTAGCCAAATTCATAGGGTTGCTGTGAGAATAAAATGGGGAAAACCACTTACGCTGTTCTGGGCTTTGTGGAGGGAAGGCGGATTTTAAATGTAGAATTACTAATAAAATGCTGATGATGAGATGTGTGGGTTGTGGTACATGCCACCCCAGGGTAGTGCTACGTGTCAGAGTGGGCTGGAAACAGACCCAAAAGAACTGTATTTTATTATTTTATGTGAGCCACCTTGGGTAGCCTTCTGGATCAAAAGGAAGAACAGAAATAAAATAGAGTAATTAACATAGATGGTTGGACAAAGCTACCAACATGAGTCTGACCAAACTGTGGGAGGCAGTGGAAGACAGGAGTGCCTGGCCTGCTCTGGTCCATGGGGTCACGAAGAGTTGGACCTGACTATACGACTAAACAACAATTAACATAGAAACATGGGAATCAGCCTTACATTGAGTCAAACAAGTGGTCCATCTAGCTCAGTATTATTTACACTGATTGGCAGCAGCTCCCCTGGCCCTACCTGGGGATTGTAGCGATGGAACTCCAGACCTTCTGTATGGAAGTCCAACTGCTCTACCACCGAGCTACAAATATTGATAAACCCTATGTCAGAACTCACTCCCAAACTTGTACGGCTCTAGTTGAAATGAGAAGCGATTAAAACAAATACACTTGTTTTGGCTGCAGTGACTTAGAGCCTCCAAGTAGCCCCTGCAAAAGGATGTAGTAAGAGGTTAATGGAAAGCTGGTCAACAGGTTTACCTCATGGAATCTTCCTTGTGGAGTGCCCAAGGCATAGAAAATAAAGTGTGAGGTAACACAAGGTATGGGCTCATAAGTCGGCATGTACATTTGTAGGTTTGAATTGTCCTCTCTTTTTTTGTGGAGAGGAATCATGCCCAGCGTAGGAGCATATGCCTGCGCTGCCTGGGGCGGTGTGTGGGATGTGCCCCTGGGGGGTGGGGGTGCGGCAGGTGTCCTTGGCACACCGCAGTTCAGGGCAGGAGAGGAGCAGGGAAGCTGCCACCCACTCTCCTCCTGGTCAGCCTGTGCCAGGCACAAGCACCGCAGCCAAGGTGCAGCTCCTCCTTGCGTGGAGCCAGGCTCCAATAAAGCAACCTGCTGTGGGGGAGCCTGTTTGAGCCCCCTCACAAAATTGCATCCGGGGCCACGGCCCCCAGGGACCCCCCTCCCATGCTACGCCTCTGATCATGCCGATCTAGCCTGCGTGCATATGAGCCTAGCACTCATAATCTTACCCATGTATTGGCAGCGTGCACAGATGAAATTACTTTTCTTGGAGGTGCAAAGAAAGCTATGGCTGAGTGAATGTTGATCAGCTGTCAGATTGAGAGATCTCCCTTAGCCGGCCTGTTTTTCCTTGGACCTTTGCTTTTTCTTACTCTAGCTCCTCTGTCGGTTGTTCCTTTACATAATACTGCCACCGCTTGGTGTTATCACTTGATCAACTCACTGTGCAATTGCTGCAGCTTTACCTACATCACCACAAGTGTCTAAAACTAAGGTTTGTGAGGATTGCAGAAAATCCTCCCAGCCATGTGGTGAGCAACTCCATACAAATGGCTTACTTACCATGTGCCAGTAAACCAGCTGCCTCTTATGATTTAGCATAGTTCAAGTGACACCAATCACGTGAATAATGAGCCTGAGTCTGGTACCCGTCCTGAGTTTCTGCTAGTCTTCCTTGGTGTGTCTTTTCCTGTCCTGGTTCTCTTGTCTTGTAAATGTTCAGGACCTACTTTTGCTTTGCTTCTTCTGCAGCCCGCATCCTGTGAAGTAGGTCTTCACTATTTACGATAAACCACGACATGGCAGCAGGCAACAAAAAAACCCTGTGAGGTTGATTGAGCTCTTGGTGGGCTGCCATCCATGTTTGGAAGCAGCTCCCCTGAACTTGCTGCTGCTCCATGCTTCACTATTGCATCTCTTAACCTTAAGCACTTGTTATGCATTGCACTTGTGAATAAGGTAAATGAGCAGAAAGGTAAAAATAAATAAATCTGTATGTGAATATGTTTTATTCTAAAGTGAAATTTAGAGATAGTGTCTGCAGTAAAGGTAAAGGTAAAGGTACCCCTGCCCGTACGGGCCAGTATTGACAGACTCTGGGGTTGTGCGCCCATCTCACTTAAGAGGCCAGGGGCCAGCGCTGTCCGGAGACACTTCCGGGTCATGTGGCCAGCGTGACAAAGCTGCTCTGGCGAGCCAGAGCCGCACACGGAAACGCCGTTTACCTTCCCGCCAGTAAGCGGTCCCTATTTATCTACTTGCACCTGGGGGTGCTTTCGAACTGCTAGGTTGGCAGGCGCTGGGACCGAGCAACGGGAGCGCACCCCGCCACGGGGATTCGAACCGCCGACCTTTCGATCGGCAAGCCCTAGGCTCTGAGGCTTTTATAGTGTCTGCAAATGGCACGGAAATGAAAAAGAGTTTTGACACAAAACTGGTATGTGTGTGGTCAGGGACCTACCACAATTTTGCTGGTTGGTAAAATAGGATTAGAACATACTAAGAGATACGCTGCTTTAGTTCCAAAGGCAGAATTTAACTCAGTGTTGTGTGATAAGTTATTTTGTGCTACTGTTTTAATAATCATACAAAGATTAACTTTAGTGGTTGACAAACATACCTGTAAGTTCCCATAAAAACTATGGCAAGATATTAGGACCAAACCACACAGACCCTGTTTAAAAGAAAAATCTACTTAAAATAAACACATCTTGATTTATTTTTTGAAAACGATCATTTTGGAACGTAATAATTACAATGGCCACACTGCATTTTGGATATGATGGACAAGTTGAGACACAGCACTGGCTCCCTTTTAACTCTGGTTAAGAAATGGCAAGCCAGCTTTGGGAAAATACTCTCCTACCTCCCTACCTTTCTCTGGATCAAATTGCCCTCTCCTGCCTTAAGAGGAATTTCAACACTGTTGTGTACTGACCCAATGTCACTTCAGATACAAATAATCCACTTCCAGAAGGGTAATCCATGTTAGTCACTCATAGCAAAAACAACAAAGAGTTTTAGCAACTTAAAGACAAACCAATTTATTGTAGCATGAACTATACATTAATTGCAATAAGGGATCCAAAAGCAGGAATAATGTGTTGTTTTTGTTTCAATTTTGCTCCCAGTTCCAATTGCCTGATCAAAGAACTTGGGTAAGTTCATTATTTATATTTTCAATTTAAACACTGTAGAAGAAATTGCATAAGAAACGTGACATGAAAACTCATTTACTTCACTGCAACCCTACAAGTCTTTTCCTGCTAATTATTTTAGCTCTCCTAAATCACACTTGTGTCTTATTCTACTTTTCATCAAATGCTAGTCTTTACTCCATTACACGTTCTAATGAATGGGAGTCTGCTACAAAGGACTATATGTGCAACCGTTTCAAAGAATTGTATTAAGATTTCTATCTAGAGGATAAAATTGTTGTGCCAGTGACTGATCCAAAGCTCTGAGCTTACAGCAGCACAATTGCACACATAAAGCATTTTACTGTGCTGGTATGGGCTTTGTATGCCATCTACTATAGATCAGAAGCCATCATATTGGCGAGTTTAGATGACATCCCTCACAGATCACAGCGCTCCCCTCACATGCATGTGTCAGTACATGCATAAAGCAGAACAAGCAAAACACATAGATGTGTGTTTGTGGCTGCCATAGCTAGGAAGTACCAAGCTAGGTTGTGCAACCCTGTCATCCACTCACACATTTTTTGAACATGTGATGGGGGATCTCTCTGAGCACCCACCTTTGAAACAATCTTTTGCAGGTGAATCCATGTAAAGGAATATTATATAGTCATTATTTAAGTATATTTCCCACCCACCCCAGGGAAACCCTATCGCTCAATCAGCTCAAACATCAATTGGGTTTTCTATGGATTTATGTTTGCCCCAATTTAAAGCTAAAGAGCAGGTTTTCCCTGGGAAAGGAGCAGGGCAAGGAGAAAATCTCTTGGACCTGTGTTCTCTAGACATGGAACAAGCGGAAGTGTGGATGAGCCTACAGTTGGCTTGGACAAAAATGAGAAGCTCAACTGCTTCTTGTGGCACTTCATCAGTTCACCTCAGTACTCTGCACGTGACCATTACAATTTACTTCTCTCTTTGTTTTTATTTTTTTCATAGTTAGTAGCAGTACTTTGTACAGCTCCATTTTTTAACTGTGAGCCCTGAACCTGGGGGATGAGAACTATTGATTGATTGGGCAGTTTATTAATATTTTCTTGGCGCTGTGCAAAAATTATGAAATGGTGGACTACCATCCACCGAACACAAAACAAAAGCGAAAGAAACAAGGACAGCAAGCAGATTCAAGTACCAGTTCTTCATAAATTATATTATATTCTTCATAAATGTTATGATGATGACCAGGTGGATTGTCTGGTGATGGAGGCATTTCTGAGAAAGGGCAAACTACACTGCAGTTGTTCCCACCCAAGCCAATGGAATAGGCCTTGGAGTCTCACCTCTTCCACTGATGCAGCCAGATAGATTTAGCTTGTGCATCATGATGAGCATTGGTGAATGGAAGCAACTACCAATAATTATAGCCAGTCACATGACAAGGTCTAACCTCCATAAAGGTTTTCAGGTCAGACTTGCTCCTTTTTAGAACAGCAAGGGTTCAAATGAAGACCACAGATACATGTTTTTAAAACCAGGTCTGCTCTGAGAAATGAGAGATGGGTGTGAGGGGTCTCATTTAATGAGCAAAATGGATATATAGCTGAGGAGTGCAGACCTTTTCTGCAGTCTGTCTCACAACGTCACTTTTCTGGCTCAAGTACCAAAATTGAGATCAGATTAGAGAAAGGCACTTGGGGAGAAGGGCTACAGGAAAATAAGTGATGGGAAGGTTTCGTATTTCAAGAATGTTACAAGTGACTACCAAAAAACTGGCTGAACGTCTTCAACCCCAGTTTGTTTGTTCCAGTTTAACCCCACTGTCACTTGTAGGTTTAAGGCAGTTTACAATATTTTAACATTTTCCCTCCCTTGCTGTATCCCAGTCCTTTCTCACTGGCAGATTTGAGAAAGAGATGAAGAATGAAATTCCCAACCAAATGATCTCTCCCCTGTTTTCCTTTCTCCCATTCACATGAACAAATCCATACTATTCTTCTTGAGGGTCGCTAAAATAGACCCCGAAATAAAATGTATTGGCAATGACAATGAAAAGATGCTGATATGGTCTAGATTTTTCATATTTCTTAAAAATGCACTAATTAACATAGAAAATGAACATCTGTATCATTTTTCGTTTCCAATGAATTATGATGGCCAGCCATTTTGTGAAGCAAGCCTTCAGTGGCCTAATTTATGAAATGCTAGGGTCATGTAATCCTCCGATTTCAAGGTATTAAGTCATTATTTATTTTTAACAGACTATTTGCCCTATATATCTGTTACTGTTTTTCAGTTCCTAGCTAATAAACATTGACATAAAGGACCAAGGCCATGTTTGATGGTATCAAACCCATCTGAGATGCTTATAAATATCGTCTCCCCTCCAGTTATGTCCATGTCTACATTTTTGAGCTTGAACTGGGAGAGCGTGCAGGTTTGCGTCACCCAACAGTTTATAGCCTCTCTGGGACTAAAAGGGAGGTATGGGATACAAGCAGCTTCCTTTTCTAAACTTCTGAATGCAGATAGAATCAGCTATTTACGTATGTAAATCAAAATTGGTATGCTGTATAGCATTAAAATATGCTGGGGGTTTTTTATTTTTTAAAAAAACATACTTAGCCCAGATTAAGAGCATGCATTGCTTAACCATAAGAAGCCTGTGTATGAGAGAGGAAACAAAGAACTCTCTTGCCACCTCCTAGCTCTAGGAATGTCTCTGTAGACGTATAAAATCTAATCGTTGCCCTGATTTTTTTCTTCTCTTAATATGAGGTAACATGATGTTGGTTTTGGATAAGGAATATTGTCTCCCTCGGTGAGGAAATATTTCAGCGCCAGACATCTGTTCCAGCCATGCATTCACATGTGAATATTGGGGCAGGAAGGGATGAATAGGGGCACTATTTCTTTAATCACTCTCCTTAAACCCTTATACCAACCAGGCTTCCTCAACCTCAGCCCGCCAGATGTTTTTTGGCTAACAACTCCCATGATTCCTAGCTAGCAGGATCAGTGGTCAGGGATGCTGGGAATTGTAGTCTCAAATTGTAGTCTCAAAACATCTGGAGGTTGAGGAAGCCTGCCTTATACCTTTCTGCCTGGAAGAGAGCTGTTCCTTCAACAGTGAATCAGCTCAGGCTACGAGGCTCCATTGCTTCATGGCTCTCAGTCAGCTTGTCCCCCTCCTCCCAAATATCCTCATGTACTAGTGATAACTCTGAAGATCCTGTCTGACTCTCCATATTCTCCCAGGGGAGATTTTTTTTTTGGGGGGTGCATGTGTGTCTGTGTACCAGCAGGAACTCAGGCAACTGAAGTGGGCAGTGGTGGCTGGTAACATTTTGACTTAGCAGGGCTGCCATTTTTAACCATGCTGTTTTCATCATAAGATGACTTGTATGGCACTTATTTAGGAAAGTGTGGCATTATACTTGTGCAGAGTGATATTGTCTCCTCCTCTAAAAAACAAAACAAAACTCTGCACATCTATGAGCAGGGAAAGAGTTTCCATGTAAGAGGGCCCAAGTATGATTTTCAGAAAAGAATGACTCCATACCGCCTATGTAGAAATTAAGCCTATATTCTATATAATATGACATAAAGTTTTGAGTACATGAATACAAGTTCTTTGCCAAAAAACTAAAAATACTTTTAAAATGTGATGAAAATTTGCTTCCAGTTTCATGTAGCCCTGTCCCCACAAAAAATCAGTTTAACTATTCATTATCCAAAAGACTCTTTTCTCTAAATTAAAAGAACAAATACTAAGCTATAAAAACAGCTCCTCAAAGGAGGAAACACTCACTGTTTTCTCTGGCCTAATGGTCTGTCTATTCCCATACTATTTCCAACAGTGGCCAGCCAAGTGCTACTTGGGAAATCCCTGTTTTGTACCTGCTAAGTCCCTATTTGGTGTCCCCAGCTTGACAATCAGATGTACTGCATCTGAATATGGATCTTCCATCTCCTGTGGCTAAAATGTCTTCTTGACTGACCTGTCGTCCATTAATTCTGCAAAGAGTTAACTATGCTATTGCCCATTACAACACAGTATGACATTGAACTCCATATATTTATTGTGCAGGTTTTTAAAAATAAAAATACTGCCTTAAAAGTTATGAAGCAATTATTTCCTTTTGTCGTTCCTGTTCATGTTTTGAGATAATTTCTCTAAGTTTATATTTCCCAGTGTTCACAGTCTGATATCATGGATCATGCAGCTTCCTACACCAAAAGGTTCAAATATTTTGCTCAGTGGTAGAGCACATACATGAAAATTCTTGCTATAAAGGATTTTCAGTAACTGGGTAGGAAACCACCCCTGCCAGAATTCCTGTGATTAATTTGAGTTGGTGTTGACTGGGAGTATAATCTTTTGTCCTACTATTCACACCTGAGCTCCGCCCTGGAATTTGCGATGTAATAGCATGTATGCATTTATGAATTAATGAATGAATACGTACATATATAAAGCTTTTGCAGAATGCTTTTCTTATGCCACTGTGTCAGGGTTTCCCAAACTTGGGTCTCCAGCTGTTTTTGGACTACAGTTCCCACCATCCTTGACCGCTGGTCCTGCTACCTAGGGATGATGGGAGTTGTAGTCCAAAAACAGCTAGAGACCCAAGTTTGAAAAACCCTGCACTATGTCATCACTACTTTCACATATCTTGGAATAGCAAACCAGGGCTTCCTTCTTTTGACAGTTGGAGCAATGCAGTAGAGAAAAGTATAACCTATGAGCCAGGAATCCTTCAAGCACAAATGTTGCCTCAGCCATGGACTCACTAGCTAGCCCAAGGAAAGTCACTGTCTTCTAGCTTCAACCATCATCTGCGACATGAGAATAATGCTACTGGCCCACTGTACTTTAATGGTTACTGAGATGATGTATGTGAAGCACTATGAATGCTAACAAAAAGTGCTATGTAAATGCAGAATAGTAGAAGTAGTAGCAATAATAGTGTTCCAGGTCAGAGGGAGCGATTCCTGGGCTTGACCTGAACAACTTGCCC